TGCAGTTGTTGGGAAATGGGCACTAAGTAAGGAAATCGTTGGAATCGTTTCGATAAACAGCTACTTAAGTCCTATTAACAGTGGCGTTTATTTTTACATATTCGATCGTGCTAAGACCTCGTCTCGGTGAGTAATGTACCTTTTCCACTAGTCTCTTGTTGATGAATTTCTTTGATATCCATCGCTATACATGTGTTTTTGTATAATGAAGGATTTGTAGTGGCGTGCTTCGTTAATCTATCGTCTCGATAACCGTTATTATATCAATCTGAACGGTGTATAATATCAGAAGACAAAGGGAAGCGGCAACTACATTTTTATTGACGAATAACATAGGCTAGAAGGCAGTGAGCACATGAGCAAATGTTAGCGAGCAAAGTAAAAATGACATGCATGGGAGATGGCTGGTAAGCCAACTCGCTATAAGCAAGCATTAATCAATATTTATACTTAGACAAAATGAATGACAGACATATGATGAATAAGATATGAGGTGTGCATGCACATACGCTCATATAAAAAAATAGTCAAGGTCAATAAGCGAATAATTAACAAGATCAAAATATGACTCGTAACGTTATAGGTGAATTGGCTTGTCTAGAAACTAGAATAAGCTATCTAGGTGTAATATAGTACACGACGTTACACTACTCCCCACAGATTCTTTTTGGCAACTACTTTTGTGGTGGAATGATTACATAGTTGGTAGTACACCTAATCTGCAATTATTGGATCAGATCTAACACTATCCAGCCATGAAAAAACAGAATGAGTCCAATATGTTTTCACAAAGGACACATAAAATGCTAATGTACTCTAAATAGGAATATTTAGGTCAGCTGAAAGGTCAACAGCCGCCATGAAATTGCGAATTAAATAAAACAGAACGCTGCAACAGATCATGGCTTGCAGGGACAAAAAAGATAGGAGATATACCAGTATTACCCCACAAACTTGACCATTAGGTCGGACAACTCCATCTGAGTGACAATCAAAAGTTGAGTTTATATCAAGTGCTCGGTGCACGCGCGTTGTTTCATTTTAGTTACCACTTCGCTCACCTGTCACTGAGTGTTGCCGTTGGGTCCAATTAATTTAAGTAGGTTCATTTTGTCCGTTTGGTTGGGTCACTTTCGTTCTTTTGTTTTGTTCAGGCTTGCTCTCATCTTTAAACCTAGACATTTCCCTGGAAATATAGTATATGGACGACCTTTGATAAATTAGTCGTACGATTTAGCCATTGAAAACTTTCGTTATGAAACGGTTTATGGTAAAGAAGTGCGATTAAAGTTGATAAACAGTTGTGATATGAATGACTTATTTCCATACATTAGTGATTAAGGCTTTTACCATCATATGACATCAGCAATAACGCGAGCTTCGCGTCGATTGGTTCAGTCTTCAGTCTTCAGTCTTCAGTAATAAGGATAGTAGGTTGATGAACCTGTGTTAATCCTGACAGATTTCCTTCCAGTGAAGGTCCAGCTTCTTTTTGAAAATGTTCACTGATGGTGCTGATACCACTTGTTCTGGTAAAGCGTTCCAGTCATTGACCACTCGATGAGAAAAACGGGACCCCACCTTTAGTTTATTAGATCGCGGTTTCAGAACCTTCTTGCTATGACCTCGGAGATTATTAGTGCTGGAGGGAGCAAAAAGGTAAGACATATTAACACCCAGATCATAATTAAAGATACGAAATGCCAGTATAAGGTCACCTCGCGTCCTACGATAAGATAAGGGGAAAAGATTTAGACGTTTTAAACGCTCATCGTAAGGGAGTTTGGAAAGACCCTTTACTAGTTTTGTCCCTACACGCTGGACACGCTCAAGCGATTTAGTATCCTTTATCAGACAAGGGCTAGCTGCTTGGATACAGTATTCTAAGTGTGGCCTTACATAGGTGGGATATAAAATTCGAAACATATCCTCGTCAAAGCATTTAAATGCTCTGCGAAGCGACCATAGCGCGCGATAGCCTTTGGAAGCAACCGCACTGCAGTGCGTAGTAGTTTTTAAGTCGTGACTTATAATTACTCCTAAGTCTTTATGCGTATGAACGCGTGGCAGAGATGTACCATTAATGGTGTAGTGGTAACTAATATCGTGCCCGATGTGCATGAACACGCTCTTCCTGAAATTAACTTCCAGGCGCCAATCATGAGCCCACCTAACTAATTCGTCTAAATCTGCTTGTAGATAACAACGATCAGTCTCATTTCTTATTGTTCTCCAGATTTTAACATCATCCGCAAACAATAACGTCGACGACTTAAGTAATAAAGGTAGTTCATTAATATACAGAAGGAAAAGTAAAGGGCCCAAGATGGTGCCTTGGGGTACACCACTTTTGACCGGTTTCCATTCGGATAGAGTTCCATTGACTCTCACTCTCTGTCTGCGGTCACATAAGAAGCTCCCTATCCATTCCTGTATAGCACCTGTTATACCAAAGCTCGAGAGCTTTTGCATAAGACCTAAGTGTGAAACCTTATCAAACGCTTTGCTAAAATCTATAAATATCACGTCGACAGACTGGCCGTTGTCTAGTGCAGCTGTCCAATCCTCTCTCGCAATGAGTAAGTTAGTCAAGCATGAATGCTTGTTACGAAACCCATGTTACTCGGGAGTTAACAGATTGTACGATTCTATGTGGCTCAGTAGCTTAGCCCGAATTAATTTTTCAAGTAACTTAACTACTATACTGGTCAGGCTAACAGGCCGGTAGTTAGATACTATCCGTCTCTGACCATCCTTAAATATAGGACTAACTATGGCGTCTTTCCAGTCTCTAGGTAGTTGAGCCTGTGAAAGGGACATGTTGAAGAGCATCGTGAGCGGTCTTGAGATAATGTCCGCAAGCGACGACAGCAAACGTGGGTGTAACCCATCGGGGCCCGGTATCTTACAAGGTTTTAGGTTAGTTATCAAAGGAAGAACTATATCCTCTGTCACGTGTAAGGGTCCTATGGCTGGTATCTCATTGTCAACGGGACAAGTAGTTGTAACACTACACGTAGAGTAGACTTCACTGAAATAGTTAGCAAATAACTCCGCTTTCGCCAGATCAGATTCAGCCAATAAAGCTGAATTTTCGCTTAACAGTAATGAGGGGATGCCATCACTACGTTTCGTCCGCCTTTTAACGTACGAAAACAGGCGCTTCGGACAGGTACGGCTATCGTATGCCAACTGTCGTTCGTAAGCCGTGCGGGATTTAGCTATGGTCTTTTTACATATATTCCGGATTTTTTTATATTCGCACTTAAATGATGCCTGACCTGTTGACAAGAATAAGTCCCAGAAGTGTTTCCTACGCTTCAACAGCTTCCGGGTTTCCTTATTAATCCATGGAGGGCAATATGTTCACACATATTTTTTTCCTGTTGATTCTTACTCACGTCCGACGAGTATCAATAAATCGGGTGGGAGTTTGTGAACTGGACAACTATACTGGCGTCAAAAGTTGCGGCTAGGTCTATCGCAGTAATTTATGTGGTTCACCAACCACACCAACACACTTCAAATGCATGCAGAATTAGAGGGAGCTATGTGACTCATCTAAGGCTCTCGATGTGATTTTTATAGTTCACACTAAAGTTCGTTCATTGTACGCCATTTGATTGCTGTCATGGTTTATTTTTTTATGGGTCTTATATGTTTGATGAGTCTGCCCACATTTTCTTTTGTTCTCTGTTCCGCTTTTTGTGGTGAAAGGTGGGACTACCACCGTATAACTGACACTTCCCTTAGTTCCCTTTAACACAACGTACTCCAATTACAATGTATAATGGGATAGGCTTACCAACTCCTCGAGGCAGTGGGACGAATGGATATGTTCAGAAAAATCTGGCTTTCATTAGTAATTTAAAAGAGCAAAACCCTTACAAAACAGAGGAGGACATAAAGAGAGCAGATGCTCTGCTGTTTAAGGAACCAAATAAAGAAATACTAGAGCATGAACGAAAACGAAAAATTGAAGTGAAATGTTTTGAGATGGAACAGGAAATGGAGGAACAAGGGTAGGTTTCTTTTGTATTCATTTTCTCTTAGTTACACGCAAAGCGAAATCGAATTTAGGGTCAGTGGATTTCGGAAAAAGTTGCTGGATGAGTTAAAGGCCTCCGAAATAAAAAAAACTCCGAATGTGGAGCCATTCGAAATCTCTCAGTCTGAACACGGCAAATTGCTACCGAAAGGGACCCATGAAAATGCCGCTGTAAATATCCTTAAAAACACAATTTTTAAAGAGGCCCTGGGAATCGGGGAGCAATTTCAGGATGGAAATTCCGTAGAGCTGGCTGTTCAGCGGAAAAAAGATGACGCAGAAACGAAGCGTCTAGTCGAGGCACAAAAAGAGATGAAGTATGTTTGTGATTTTTTAATCTGAATATCCTGTAATATGCTACACAATACTTTGGTGTTTTGAACTCTGATTTGGATACTTAGTACCTATTTCTGTGATTTTTCACAACTTTAGTTTCCTTAAATCAATAGACGGAGTTCATATTTAGTATTGAGATCATGGAGTTACTTATTTACGCCTATCACCTTTCCTGGAGGAGCATAGGCCGCATTGTAATTCAGGGTCTCCCCTTATATATGTTGAGGCCTACTGTTGCTGCGATGATTGTCTTTATCTGCAATTGTTGGTGTTCATGGGATAGAAGGTCTAGGTCATCTGCGAAGTCCAGATCGCACATTACATACAAGCCGTTCATTGTATCCCGTGCTTCCCCTCACATGTCGACGTCTTCATAACCCAGTCAACCACCAGAAGACTGACTCTGCTCATCACTTGGAGTGCATTTGTCAGTTGTCCTCCATACGCGACTTTTCAGTGTAGTCCATCGTATGAATTCCAGATGATGTTGACGATTTCATCAACTACTCACTCCATAGTGTCGAAGAAGGTTCCATGAGGTCCTCATATCCACACTGTCAAACGCCTCATAGTCTAGGAAGTTGATGTATAGTGACGAGTTGCATTCAATCGATTGTTCAACGATGATCCGTAGTGTCGCTCTTGGGTCTGTGAATGACCGATCGTTACGTAATCCGGTCTGTTGATCTTGAAACTGGACAACTACCGAATCTTTCATTCGGTTCATCAACACAGTTATAAACCTTTCCTGGTACTGGAAGTAGTGAGATACCTCTATAGTTCACACACTTGTTGAGATCTCGTTTCTTTGGTATTTTGATTACGTGTCCTTTCCAGTCTGTCAGCACTTGTTCTTCCTCCCAATCCTTCCTGAACAAAACGTGGAACATGTTTTCAGTTGCTCCTATGTGTGACATGAGTGCTTCAGTTGGTATATTGTCAGGTACTACTGTTTTCCAACTCTTGATTCGTCTGATTAACATGCTGATTTCTTCGATTGTTGATGGAGTGACACCAATAGGAAGGTCTGTGTGTTTTGCTTCTATGTGCGGTAGATTAAATGGAGCTGGCCTATCGAAGAGTTCTTCAAAGTGTTCTACCCATCTGTTTCTCTGTTTTGAATTTCAGTGATTGTCTTGCCTTGTTTGTCTTTGACCGGTCTTTCTGGTTTACCACATTTCCCTTCCAGTTTCTTTGTTGTGTCATACGGTTGTTTGACATTTCGTTCTGTTGCAGCCTTTTCCGCTGTCGTTGTTAGCGGTTGCTCGTATTTCTGTTTGTCAGCTGTAATGCTCTTCTTTACTTGCTTGTTTTTTTTTCTGTGTATTCAGTATTTGCCTTGACTTCCTGTGCTCTTGTTCGGCTGTTGTTAATTGGTGTCTTTTTGTTCTTCCTTTCTTGAATCTTGTCCACGTTTTCGATAGAGATCCATCCCTTATGATGATACTTGTTACGAATCACGACCTCCTGACACGTTGAAGTTATTGCTTCTTTGATCCCTTTCCAATTGTCCTCCATAGTGCTTTCTTCTTCTCTCAGTAGGTAATGTAAGGCTTGGAGCGTGTTGTTTAGAGATATCTCGAATTATTTGAGTTTGTGAGTATGTGGAATAAAGGCTGTACTGAACCTTTGTGATGTTGTTTCCTCAGTTGTCCAGTGCTTCTTTAGCTTAAGTTTCATCTTGGCAACCATCAGTTAGTGGTGATGTGAAGCTATGTCAGCTCATCCCTTGGTTCTCACGTCTTCTATCGATCTTGCGAATTTTTTAGTGATACAGATATAATCGATCTGGTGCTGTTTAGTGTGATTCGGTGATGTCCATGTAGGTTTGTGTATGCGTTTGTGGGGGAAAATAGTGCCGCTTATAACAAATTTGTTGAATGCATGTAAATTTGTAAATTTATCACCATTCTCGTTCATTGTTCCCAGTCAGTCTATGTAGTCTGATGATATCTTCATATCCGGTGTTGTCCACTCCGACTTTGGCGTCTAGATCTCCTATCAGAATGGTCAGATCTTTTCTGAGCATTTTGCTATTGTTTATTGAAACCTTTCGTAGAAGTGATCTTCATCGTCGTCATCTGTCGCTATCATTGATGAGTGCAAAACACTGGATATTCATTCATTGTGATCCTTTCTTTTGTTTTCAAGGATGCTTTGATGATTCTGGGTCCATGAGGTTCCTATCGTATAAGTGTATTTCTTGCTTCTTTGGACAGAATCAGTTCAAGTCTTTGTATATGTGAAGCGTTTCGATCTTCGTGACTAGAGTACAACAGCATATTTCCCGAATCTATCCTTTTCTGTCCAGCTTGAATACGATGGGTTCAACTTATTCCGAGAATCTCTAAGTTGTATCTCCACATTTTCGGAGCTGTTTGACTGGTCTTCCCGTTCTCCCACATTGTCTGAACATTCTATGTACCTATATTAATTGTCCTGGTTGTTAGAAGGTGGATCGGCCTCGTGACTTCTGAATAATCTCGGCTTTCATCATGAGGCGTCATAATTATTCTAAATGAAGATCCTACAATTCTGAGGAGACTGTCTAAGTGGTTTAAATTGTTTGTTCTGGTTAGCATTTTTTGGCAAGGTTGTTTTCTACGAGGTCGGGTTGCTGATCTCACACCTGACCTTCCTTTACCCGAGCTTGAGGACGGCAGTAGCCCTAGAAGACCTATAGACGGAGTAATTCCTATTTAAGAAAATGCACTCATGATGTGTTAAATGGACCATAAACTAAATGTATGGCATGTTTCAGTCACGGTCTTAGAATTTTTACTAACTCTAAAGCCCATGACTTTTATTTATTCCTGTAAATAATTTGGGCTGACGAAGATTTCGACAACATGTGTAATACGAATTTAAATCGATCTAGGTCAAGGGACGTTACCTAGCTAATCACTACCTAAAAGCTATCATGAATTCAGGAAAACCTGAAGAAATCACACATGACAAGTGAAATATGTAATAAATCTGAAAATGTCTCCAAAAAAACTAAGTGGTTCTGTTTATGATATTTATCGCAGTAGCAACTGTAGTCAATACACTTTCAGATCGCGGTTTTAAACTCCACTCCACGTTCTTCTGTTCAGTCATTTGGGTAGTGATTAGTCCACATATAACTACACTGTGATTTAAACCAAGTTACATACTAGGACCAAAAGGCCGTCCAGTGCTCCCACATTTTGCTCCGTATGCCCTGGTACGCCGAGTGTGGGGAGAGTCAGCTCTCCCTCTCCAAATGCTATCACATGGTCACGTGCATACAACCACTGACAGGGAAGTCCTACTCACTGCCTTCTCGTGGCAGGGGTGTTGTTCACGAAAGTGAGAGGACGAAAAACGAATGCCCGGCGCGTTAACCGGGTTGGTGGATGTGGAGGATCCACCTAGGGGAGTTGGAAAACCCTGATTCCAAACCAATGGTGCACATGGGCTCCAGTATCCTGAGGGAACAAATGGCGTATGAACCAATTGTTGATCACCGGCTATCATGTGACTGCATCTCCTCACGATGCTCCACTTCCTTGTGGATCATATCTTTAGGTCAAAGGCTCTGGGTGTGGCCCCCTAAGAAAAACACCTGCTTCGGTCTGGACGCCCGAGCAGTATCATAGCCCTCACACAAATCTCATTTGATTTGTATGGCGCATATTTATCTGGTGCTTCCTTGTACTAATATTTGTGTTTAAATAAATAAATAATCCGGAGATATCTCCAAAAAAAACTAAGTGGTTCTGTTTATGATATTTATCGCAGTAGCAACTGTAGTCAATACACTTTCAGATCGCGGTTTTAAACTCCACTCCACGTTCTTCTGTTCAGACATTCGGGTAGTGATTAGTCCACATATAACTACACTGTGATTTAAACCAAGTTACACGAACCTGTGTTTTGTAAATGAATGACTTAAAAAGTGTTTATTGGTTTCATAACATAAATCCAGTTTATCAGTTATTGGCTAGCTAGTTACAGAAGGATGACTACTGTAAGGCTGCTGAGTATTCAGTTTGTATGTAGATATCCTAAACAACGAGATGATAACATTGTATACTGGAAGTAAAACAAACGATTCCATGTGTCTTATACTTCACTAGCAATACAACCATGCAGAATGAGTGACAGAATAAAAGCAATTCTAATAACAATAAACTAAAGAAAAGGGAATTTAGAAACTAACAGCCCGAAAGTCCAAGAAACTAAATGGATGATACACTTCCATGGTGACCAAAATTACGTTTTATCTTTAAAAAAGATGGGGCTTTTCATTTTTCCTGTATTCATTTCTTAACTAGCTTTACATATTGGTAGCTGACCCAACTTAGTAACCGAGTGCAATTCATGTACTGGCCTTTGATTCACTTTTTTCCTACGAGCAAGTGATGTTATCTGACCGTCCACTACATAGTAGGTGGACAAAGATTCAAATACGACTCGGGAGTTGAAAGTCACGAGCTTTAACTACCAAACCACAGGTCTAAAATATAGACTATTAATTGCTGTTTTGTGAATATATAGAGGATAGCAAATCTATGAATCTAACAGTAAGATTATAATAATTATAAAGCATACAGTAATTACTAACTTCTAACCTTACACTGTCCATCACCAAGCCTCACCCGCTGCGAGTGTACCACACTGAGGTCATACCAAATCATCATGCTTGACAATCTTATCTCTGTGCTAATGAGGTGTGGCAACTTGAACCTATGTACATACTTACCAGGTTCTACGTTGCGGTCGACTGACTAACTCATCATATACTTTATTTCATGAATCAAAATAAATCACTACAATGGTACTTTATCATTTATGAACACTTATAACATCATAAATAATTGAGTATTCTGGAAATTAAGGTATAAATAATTTCAACGTAAATCGTAATCCATTGAATAAACCACGATGTCGTTTCGGAATGAATAACATCACAGTCCTCATGCTGATTGATTGGGGATAATTGATGCTACTTTGATGGAAACTAGTTATGTATTCATAGTGTCTCATCCAAATGGAATACTAATTCTGAATTTTTCTTAAGCCTCTTAAGTTTCAAGAAGTTGCTCCATTCAGTCAAGCTCATTTGGTATGTAAGCTAATGGTAGTACTATAATTTGCAATGCATCATTTGGAGGTAATATGGAGCTTATAATTCAAACTTAGATAATAGAATGATAATGGGATTTTTCTTGTGGATTGTTTATTGCATATTCAATGTTGATCGATTGATTGTGCTTAGTAACAAGATATAACCGACCGATAGCTACCTATTAAATGAAATCTATTGACTTATTACATTCGTCTAAAAACCATGACTAAAGAACCTTAAAAGACCAGACAATCAACCATTCTATCACAGTTTTATTCATGTTTTTCCATTCATGACAATAGTTTTTTAGCAAAATTAACAAACCTAGCAATTTTTTTACGCGAATCTTACTTTCCAGTTATGTACTTTAAATCCCGGATATTTCTTATCTCTGATTAACAAATAAGTGAGAATTCCAAGTGAAATTAATGTTCTCTTGTACATCACTTACTCAGTAGTCCCGTTATTAACTTTTAAACCACGATTATGTTCTAGGCTATTTACAAATGTGAAACAGTCATTTCAATATTGGGATTTAAGTTTCGCGCTTCAGTACACGAAGAAACAACCAGACGACAGTTAGTTATACTTACTTGATATCTTATCATTTTGGAATCACATTGAAGGCAGTGTCACTGTAAGTTCAAAGTATGAGATTTCTTCTTAAAACAGTAGCCAGAGAAACATTAACCGAAGTAGTTTATGTTTATACCATCTGGAACAACTTGACTTCCTAAAGTGTTTTACTTTTAATATGGTATATACTCATGTCTGGTTCATCTTTAATAAAAAATAATACGCCCTTTCTTTAACTGTTTAGTGTTTGTTGTCTGAAATGTGGTTACTTGGAATAGAATTAACTGCGTATATCTGAAAAATAAACAAGAAGAGTATGATGATCTCTAGTGTATCATGACTTAATAGAAGCTGTAAGCTACATTTCTTATGCAAGGGATATTGACACTACTATGAGTCAACACACCATTCGAATCTATGACACTTGTTAAAAGTTAGCTCCCCAAATCAATAAACCATTACTTCGCTGAATCATATTTCGAAACGTGTTAACAATAATCAAACTAATAAAAGTTTTAAATAAATAGTTATGTTAAGTAGAAAAAAGCTTTTTAACAAGACTAGTGAGTACATCTAATGTATCATTTTAAAAGTTGTATTAATTTCTTGTATAGATAATGGAATTGGTAGTTAATTCTTAAAATCATTTTGCATCTTATTAAATATCGAAATACAAGCAATCAGTGCAAGTTATGTTTGGTCGAGATTTCAGTCATTTAACATTAGTTGTAGT